GGGGTCTGAATACTTTCCGTACCCACTGTATATATTTTTTTTTTTATTATTTTATTTTTTTTATAATATATATTTTATAATATATATATTTTTTTATATATATGAAATATACCTGTGATGGCAAAGCTGAATTTACAGCAACCATTACTCCAGTCTTCAGTGTCACATGATCCTTTACAAATCATTCTAACATGCTAATAATAATATTTTTGTGGAAGCTGTGCTGTATTTTTTTTCTTCATGATTTTTTGATGAATAGAAAATTCAAAAGAACAGCTTTTTTTGTAATAGAACTCTTTTGTTATACTATAAATGTATTTACTGTCACTTTTGATCAAATTAATACAACTTTGCTGAATGAAAGTATTAATGTCTTTCCAAAAAAAAAAAAGCTCACTTTTAAATTGTACAGTAGTGTATATGAAATAATACGTATGCTTGTGGATTATGCCTGTGACAATATGAAAGTGTTTAAGTGTAACCTTCGTGACTCTTACCATACAGGATGTGAGGTTTAGATGTTTTTGTGTGTTAATGCTCTCAGTGTTTTATTGTCACCTGCGCAGGCAGCAGTAGTGAGTGCGTTTGCACAGACCCTGCGCCGCTACACTTCTCTGAATCACCTGGCCCAGGCAGCGCGAGCCGTCCTGCAGAACACGTCCCAGATCAACCAGATGCTCAGCGACCTCAACAGAGTGGACTTTGCTAACGTGCAGGTCTGTCTCTCTCATCACACCTCGTCCTTTGACTTCCTGTCTCGGGTTCATGGATATGTTCAGCTCACTCTGCGTGTGTTTGTTTGTCACAGGAGCAGGCGTCCTGGGTGTGCCAGTGTGACGAGAGCGTCGTCCAGCGTTTGGAGCAGGACTTTAAGGTGACCCTGCAGCAGCAGAGCTCTCTGGATCAGTGGGCCGCCTGGCTGGATAACGTTGTCAACCAGGTGCTGAAGCCCTATGAGGGCAGTACCAGCTTCCCCCGCGCCGCACGCCAGTTCCTGCTCAAGTGGTCCTTCTACAGGTACAAGGCTCTCTAGAAGTACTCTTTTTACTTGAATAGTGCAGTATTTCCAATGCATTTATTTCAGATCAATTTGACTGGGCCTCTTAAGTGATCTTCTGAAGAGAGCTGATTGAAAGCAGCACTTGGATCTGCGTCTGGTTGTGGTTTTGTTGTGGTAGTTTGTAATGAAACTCTCTGTTGCCCTGGTTTCAGCTCCATGGTGATCAGAGATCTGACTCTGCGCTCGGCCGCCAGCTTCGGCTCCTTCCACCTCATCCGCCTGCTCTACGATGAATACATGTTCTATTTGGTGGAACACCGTGTCGCCATGGCAACCGGAGAGACTCCCATCGCTGTCATGGGGGAGGTGAGGAGATCTGATGTTTCAGACCTTCACGCGAGAATCTGACCGCTTGTGTTTCGAGTTGAGCTCATGCAGGTGTTTCTTTTGGCTCCGTGGCTCTTTATGAAAATAAAATATTGCGGGTGTGAAAAGTGTGTTTTCAAGGAGTTTATTTAAATAACAGTGTCCAAGAGCATATATACATGCGTCAGCAGAATTTTTTTCTGAAATGTTTTTTTTTTTCCTTTTTGGGGGGGGGGAGGGTAAAATGGCAGAATACTTTTGCTGAGGCTATTTTTCCAACTAGCATTAAACATACTAAATGCAGAGAATTATATTATTATCAATAGATTTTTTTCACTGTATACATACATTGATAAAATAATTATATTTATATTTATTATTATCTATCTATCCATCCATATATGCATCCATCGGCCTACACAATTAATCTTAATAATAATTATTTATGATATATTAATTATATCCACCCATCCTAATAGTAATGATATTAATATAAAACGTTTCAATTTAATAATTATTAAATTATTATTATCATGTAATATTAAATTATGATTTAATGTTTATATTATATAATTATGATTGTTTATTATTATTAAATTAATAATAAGAGTAATAATTATATAATTAATTATATAGTAATATTTATATCCACCCATCTGTGAATGAATAAGGTATTTCTATATTAATCTACACATTAATATTAATAACAATTATATTTGTTATATTAATTACATCCACCCATCGTAATAATGATATTAATAATATAAAATTTTAGCAATTTAATATTAAATTATCATATCATTTAATATTAAAGGGGTCATATGATGCGATTTCAATTTTTCCTT